AACTTTGTATCCACTAAAAAATAATCCCCTCTCTCTCTGTCCCCTGTAACCTCTACTCTACTTTCTGTCTCTGAGTTTGCCTATTCAAGGTACTTCATGTAAATGGAATTATACAATATTTGTCCTCTGTGTCTGGCTTATTTTACTTAACACGTTTTCAAGATTTATCCATATTATAGTGTGTATCCAAATTTCATTGTATGTATATTCTACATTTTGTTTATCAATTTCATTTATTAAATCCAGGAGATTTTTGTTGATTCCTTGCGATTTCTCCATAGACTCTCGTGTCCTCTGCAAAGAAATTTTATTTCTTCATTTCTAATCTGTATGCCTTTTATTCCCTCTTCTTGTCTTATTATAAGCTAGGACTTTAGGTGTAAGAGTAAATAAGAATGGTGAGAGAGGATATCCTTGCCTTGTTCCTAATTTTGGGGGAAAGCGTTCACTTTCTCACTATTAAGTATGATGTTAGCTATAGGTTTTTTTGGTAGATTCTCTTTATGAAGTTGAGGAAGTTCCCCTCTTCCTAATTTGCTGAGAATTTTTACCAGGAAGGTTGTTGGAGCTTCTCAAAAGCTGGCTGCATCAATTTATATGATCATATGATTTTTTCCCTATATCCTCTTTATGTGCTGAATTATACTGATTGATTTTAGAATGCTGAACTATCCTTATACCCCTGGAAGAAATTCCACTTGGTTGTGTTGTATAATTCTTTTTGTACATTGTTGAATTCAATTTGCTAGTATTTGTCAAAGACTTTTACACTGATGTTCACGAGAGAGATCAGTCTGCAGTTTTTTCTTCTTATAATGTCTTTAACTGCTTTTGGTATTAGGATAATGCTGGACTCATAGAATGAGTTAGTAACTTCCCTTTACTTCTGTTTTTTAGAAGAGATTGTGGAGAATTGGTATCATTTCTTCCTTGAATGTTTAGTAGAGTTACCAGTGAAACAATCTGGGCCGGGTACTTTCTTTCTTGGAAGTTTACTGACTCATTCCTTGACTACTCAGATTATTTCTCCTTGGGTGAATTTTGGTAGTTGCATCTTTCAAGGAATTAGTTCATTTCATCTAATTTATCAGATTTCTGGGTATAGAGTTGTTGATAGTATTCCTTTACTTTCCTTTTAATATTCATGTGTTAATTAATGATGATCCCTATTCCGTTTCTGATAATGGTGTTGTATGTTTATTTTTAAATTTTTCTGTGTATTATTATGTTTTGACATCTTAAAATACCTTTCTGGCTGAGGAGAGACACCTTGGCCTAGCCAATTCTCAGAGATAGCAAAGGAGCGTACCTTCAGTATGCTGACTGACCAGTGCAAAGTCATACCTCCTCTATCTGGCCTGCACACCTCAGGGGGCAGTATTCCTGTGGCACCTGCAAGGGTCAAGTTCCAGGTAACCAGGGACAGCCCCAATAAACTGAAGCCTGCTGAAATGATTCAAATTAGCCAATCCTGAACTGTTTACCCTGCCTTGCCTTTTCTGCGGGCTAGCCTAGGTTTTCCCTTCACTCATGTTTTCTGCCTTCTAACCACCCTGAGGCTTTCCTATGTAGCCCCTAGTAGGCTGTGCCTCCTATTTCTAGGACCTATGAGTATAGTTAACATTGCTTTCCTGAGCCTCTCTTGTGTCTTCTCTTGTGGTTACACCTGATGGACCTGACTGACCATCACATGAAAGAACACAGGTAATTTTGTATCTTCTCTTGTTTTCTTGGTTAGCATGGCTAGAGGTTTACTGATGTTATTGATCTTTTCAAAGAACCAGATTTTTGTTTCTATGATTTTTCTGTATCATTTTCCTGATTTCAGTTCCATTGATTTTTGTTCTAATTTTTTATTATTTCTCCTCTTTTAAGCTTAAATTGCTTTCTCTCATTGCCTAAGTTGTAAACTTAGATAGTTGATTGTAGATTTTCCCTCTTTTCTGATATATACATGTAATGCTAAGCACTGTGTAAGCACTGCTTTCACTATATCTTACAAGTTTTGATTGTATTTTCATTGAGTTCAAAATATTTTTTTCTTTCTCTTGAGACTTCCTCAACCTGTGTATAATTTTTTAGTATGTGTTTAATTGTGAAATATTTTGGGATTTCCCAATTATTTTTCTGTTATTTGTTTCTAGTTTAATTCCATCATGGCCTCAGAAGATAGTTTATATAATTTCTATTATAGGTTGAATTGTGTCTCCCGAAAAGATATGTTAAAGTCCTAATTATTATGCACATACCCCTCCCCTTAGTCTATGAATATGACCTTATTTGGAAACTGAGTCTTTACAGATGTAATCAAGTTAGCTTGATGTCATTAGGGTAGATTCTTATCCAATATGACTGGAGTTTTTATGAGAAGAGGAAATGTCATGTGAAGACAGAGACAGACAGGAAGGATGCTGTGTGATTACAGAGGCAGAGACTGGAGTCATGCAGCTCTAAGCCATGGGATGCCAAGGAGTGACAGCCACCAGCGGAAATAGGAAGATGCAAGGAAGGATTCTCCCCTGTAAGTTTCAAAGGGAGCAGGGCTCTGCCATCACCTTGATTTTGGACTTCTAGCCTCCAGACTGTGAGACAATAAATTTATTTTAGGCCACCCAATTTGTGGTACTTTCTTACAGCAACTCTAGGAAACTAATATAATTTCTATTCTTTTAAATTTATTAATGTGGATTTTATGGTCCAGAATGTGGTCTACCTTGGTGAATAGTCCATGTGACCTTGAGAAGAATGTGTATTTTGTTGTTGTTGGATGGAGTATCCTCTGAGTGTCAATTAGGTTAAGTAGATTGATAGTGCTGTTCAAGGCAATTATATCCTTACTAATTTTCTGCCTGCTTAAACTATCAATTACTGAAGAAGGGGTGTTGACATCTCCAAATATATCTGTGGATTTATCTATATCTCCTTGCAGTCTTACTAGTTTTTGCTTCATGCATTTTGACACAACTGTTTGGTTCATACACATTAGGGGTGGTTATGTCTTCTTGGAGAACTGACCTCTTTATCGTTGCATATCCTCTTTATCCCTGATCATTTTCCTTGTTCAACTTTGTTTGAAATTAATATAGCTACTCTAACTTTCTTTTGATTAGCATTAGTATGCCTTAACTTTTTCCATCATTTGACTTTTTCATTTTAATACTTTACTTTTAATGTTTAACAACTTGATTGATACAGTTCACATACCTACCACTCACCCATATAAAATGTACTATTAATTGGCTTTTAGTATATTCACAGAGTTGTGCAACCATCATCAAAATCAATTTTAGAACATTTTCATTATCACTCCCCCCAAATCTTATAACCAACCCCTTAGCCAATCTCCCCCATCACCTGCCAGGGCAAGGCAACCAGCAAATTACTTTTTGTCTCTATAGATTTGCCTGTTCTATTCTAGACATTTCATATAATACGTGGTCTTATTAGAATGGAATCACATAATATGTGGTCTTTTGTGAATTACTCCTTTCATATGGCATGTTTTCAAGGTTCATCCATATTGTAGTATGCATCACTACTTCATTTTTTTCTGGTGCTGGATAATATTCCATTGTATGAATATACCACTTTTTATTTACCCATTAAATCATTTCATTATCATTTGGGTTATTTTCGCTTTTTATCTTTTCTGAATAATGCTGCTATAAACATTTGTGCAAACTTTTTGTGAGGGTATATATTTTCATTTCTCATGGGTATATAGCTAGGATTGGGTTGCTGGATCCTGTAGTAACTCTATGTGCAAATTTTTAAGAAACTGCCACTGTTTCCCATAGTGCCTGCACAATTTTATATTCCTACCAACAGTGTTCGAATTTCTCCACATCTTCCTCAACACTTGTCCATCTTTTTGATTATAGTCAGCCTAGTTGGTTTGAAGTGCTATCTTATTGTGGTTTTGATGTGCACTTCCCTGCAGACTAATGATTTCGAGCACCTTTTCATGTGCTTTTTGGCTATATGTAGATCTTCTTTGGAGAAATGCCTATTCAGGATCCTTGCCCACTTTAAAAATAGCTCTTTA